TTGAATATCTGTGTAGTGTTTCTCTTCGCTGCTGTAGCGGTTTTGCAATTTGCAGACGGTCCCTATCCACTCGTCTCACAGCCGGCTGCTCATTGACACCAATGTTATTTCTGCAGCTTGAAACACAGCTACTTTTGATAAAACTGGGCTTGTAGCACACTGTCTACCTTACAACGATGGGAAGGATGCCTCGTTTATGTTTTGACAACGTATCACTAATAAGTTATTGAAGCCGGAAGTCCGAATCTGTGAATATCTTTCCAACTTTACCGACCTCAGAGGCAGTCTGGCTGAGTGGATATGGCCTCACTTTCACTCCGACCTGCTGTGCACTGTAACAACACACAGTGGCGGGCCCTGACAGGACTGGACTAGCCAGCCGTCTGGAGCCGCGAGGGGCAGACAGGTACGCTGGGAAGCACGGAGGCAGCCCTGCTACGTGGAAATGCCTTTAGCTTCTAGCTGAGTAATTTGACACTAATTTGAAGTCAGTGGGTCACATGACCTGGAAGCTATTGAAGAATATTCATCATTTATGAATATAAATAATCATTCAAAATATTACAAATGCTAAAATTGAAAATTATTTGGTGTGCCTCATTTGTCCAGAGTAGCTGAGTAATTTGACACTGATTTGAAGTCAGTGGGTCACATGACAAGGAAGCTATTGAAGAATATTTAAAATTTATGAATATAAATAATCATAAAAATTCTTAAAATGGCTAGAATGGAATACAAATTGGTGTGCCTCGTTTGTCCAGAGTAGGTGAGTAATTTGACACTGGTTTGAAGTCACTGGGTCACATGACCTGGAAGCTATTGAAGAATCTTCATAATTTATGAATATAATAATTCATACAAAAATATGCAAAAGGCTCAAATTGAAAATTGATTGGTGTGCCTCGTTTGTCCAGAGTAGCTGAGTAATTTGACACGGATTTGAAGCCAGTGGGTCACATGACCTGGAAGCTATTGAAGAATATTCATAATTTATGAATATAAATAATCATAAAAATCATTACAAAGGATAAAATGTAATAAAAAAGGGTGTGCCTTATCTGTCAAGTGTATTTGAATAATTTGACACTGATTGGAGTCAGTGGGTCACATGACAAGGAAGCTATTGAAGAATATTCATAATTAATGAATATAATAATTCATAAAAAATATTACAAAGGCTAAAATTGAAAATAAATTGGTGTGTCTCATCTGTCCAGTGCAGTTGAATATATCCATACTGGTTTTTATTCACGAGTTCACAAAATAGAAAATGTATTAATTTTGATAGCTCAAGGGTTCTTGGTTCAGAAATTCGTTGACGGTCCCTAGTGAAATGTCGCTGGTTGGGTGGCGATGCAGCCGAGAGGAGCGAGCCGAAGTCTGAGTCTGTAAATCGTATCAACTGTGAGCAAGACGCCGCTGACTCCGCGGAGCGCGAATATCCAATATTCAACTTCAAACTAATTTCACCGCGGTACCCCACCGTTGAAGTTTCTACGAAATCATAGTGTATCAGAAGAGTGCCTCTCGTGTATGGAACCCACCATGCTTCAACCCAAGCATGAATCAAATCGTGTAAATGAATATGTATATGTATGTATGTAAATGAATAAATATCCCTCCGTTTATCCGTGCTCCGCCCGCCGTTTTCTCAAACGTGATATGGTTTCATATTATAAGGTGATAAATATTATCTCGTTTTAATGTGAAACGTTTCTCTTTATAACGAGATAAATACTTATACTACTTATAGTACTTATACTTACTGTAAGGAGATACTGAACCGTTGATGTTGTTGTTGTTTTTTTTTTTTTGAGGAGTGGCAGTTCAGCGCTTCCGTTTTTTCTAGGTCAGTAACTAAATGAACTAAAGGTAGATATTTTCAATGTGATCCTTTTGTTTGTTTGTTGAAATTATTATCTATATTATATATTATTGTATTATATTATGTCAAGTTCAGTTGATTTAACTTATTTTTACACTTGCACAAATCATAATTTGACTTTGACATAATAAATCAACTAAAGTGCAGTTAACTCGCTATTTCAAAGCAGCAAGGGAACTCACATGTCTATGCTGAATGAACATGATTGACAGAGTATATGTCTGTGTAAACAGTCGTAGAATTCAAGAGGACCTTTGTTTTCGATTTTTGAAGACATTTCATCTCTCATCCAAGAAATGCCTTCAGTTCTAATTGACTGATGGAAACTTGCATTTCTGCATACATTAGGTTAGATTAACATCTAAAAGTTGTCAATAAGAATAGAATAGCATGGTGCTGTAATAGCATTGTATGGTGCCTAGGTGATGCTGTTGCACTTGCAAACTGACAATGAAGACTTTGGTTTCCGCATAGGCTGTATGTGTTTTCATTAAAAGTTAAAAAAAACAACAACAACAACAAAAAAAAACTTTTGAAAGCCATTACTGTACATTTGTTTTTCCTAATCTGGTACAGGGAGTAATAGACAGAAGATACAGAAACTAGATCACAATCAATAGTCTAATCTTTATTGATACACCTAATAATAGAGGTGAATTCTTCCCTTTGTTGCCCCAGTTATTATCCATTCAGTTATACTACATGAGCAGAGACTAAAAATCATTTGAGCTTGATCTGTGTGGGTATGTGTGATGGAGCAGCTCATCTGCAGGGTTAAGGTCAAACCAAAGCCAACCAATCACAGCCATACCCAGGGAGCAGCTGGGTCCATCAGGCAGGCTTTTGGGCTGAGCAGATGGGTACTTTGGTGCATTGGGCTACAGAGGGGCGACTGTGACAACCAATAGTGGCACCGGTGTCTTTATGTCAATGTAGGGGTGCTTGAGCAAATCAGACTGGTACTTAATTGGGTCACTCTGGTATGATATGTCAGGGCCATGGGTGCAAATTACCTGCTGAGCCAACCCTGGCACACTGGCACTGATGTTAGCTTTGATTAATGTGTGCTGCCCCCCCTCCCCAATAAATAGTTATAAGCTTGTTTGGGTACATGAGTACAAAATTATATCAGCACCTCTGTGAAATTGAACATTAAAAATTCATGAATGCAGGATGTAGGACTGTTGGACTGCTTTAGTTTTAGTAATGTAATAAACTGGCAACTGGGTGTGTGTGAGGACAGGAACCAAAAATGGAAAAATCCCATTGATGCTTGTCGTGGCACATCAGGGGCAGTGATGATGACTGTAACAGTGTGAGACAAAGAGGCTGTCAGAGGGTTTGTTTGATTCCCCTCCTGTCCTTACCACACATTGTTAGGTCACAACTTCCATGGACATTCTGTACATCATTGTGACCCAGACTGATTTTTCTAAGTTCATCAATAGTTTTATAGGTCTAAACTCAGATCATTGATATTATGAAGTATTGAGCAATGGGTAGCCGTATTAAGAAAATCAATAGATTGCTATAAAATGCCTCCAAATTAGAAGATAGCTGCATTCACGAACTCAAATTAGGCCTGTATGGCACTGTGCACCCACACAGCCCCCATGTGCTCTAGATAAACTTTAGCCAGCGAAGCCACTCTCTCTGTCATTATTAACCTCAGGGTCCATCAGCTGGAGCTAACATCACTATGAGGACTGCACATACGAGATGGGACTAAGTTCTATTTTTTAATGGATACAAGAAATACATTCCCCCCCTCCCCCAAAGGACTTTTTAAAAACTTAAATGGATGGACGTGTTTTCAAACTGGACTAACAAAACTATAGAATTTCTTTTGAGTCTCAGGTGCAAAAACCTGCAAAGTATTTAAAGTTTAACAGAAGCAGGTGTAGATGTCCAGGTGAAGGGAGGCATCACCAACTTATCAGGTACAATGTGAGTCGGATTGCAACACAGCTGGAGATTAAAGCCGTGTCAGGTAAGACTAATCAAGGTCTGAAAGGTGTGCTCATCTTATCTATGAGACAGAAGTGTTCCTGGTGATGTGAAAGCTGCACATCACCCTCTCTCCTGACCTCTACTGACCTCCTCCCACACCTTTCTGCTCTGTCTGCGGGGAGGCAACGCTTCTAAAACCTGAGGCCCAGGTGAGCTGAGCACACACGAAGCATGGACTCGCTACACCTGCCACAGGTGAGGACAAGCTGCTTTCCATTAGCTTGAATGCTTCAATATTGCCATCATCTGAAAACTGGATATCATTTTAATGTTTTTTTGTTTGTTTTTTTACTATGAAAGAAATCAAAAGCCTTTATGCATCAAAGGTACATGAAATGCAAGAACATGAAATGTAAAATTTCTTTGTTGACTTGAGAAAGCATCTTGTGTTTTTTTTTGTTTTTGTTTTTTCAAATGCATAATTTAAAGTTACTGCCTGTTTCTGTAAATTAAATTGATGGGTTTGGTAACTGACCTCAGAGTGCAACTCAGATTAACAACTTTATTATTATTAATCAGGAATTTCTTCACTGTATGATGACTGAACAAACTGAAAATTGCTGGAAAATGATTAAAATGGACAAAACATAAATGTTTACTAAAGACTGTGTCATAAACCTGTTATAGACATGAAATTATAGAAAATAGGGCTTTAATACATTTCACACAGAGGTACAGGGATTTTATCAGTAGTTAATGAATAACATCCAAATAGCGAACTGATGAAGTCTATCCCAGTGTACGTGTAACTCTTTGTTAACATTGTATCAGTTTCGCCTTCTGTGTCATACTGTGAATGGAATTTTACTGCAACTGGAGCATGTGACAGTAAGATCGATACAATAGCACGTGAGGGGAAATGTGTGTGTGTGTGCGGGATTGCATGTGTGTATATGTGATATTTATGAACTATTAAACAGCGATATCTTTATATTGTTTCAAAATGAGAAAGTTACCATTTTCCTACTGACATCTCATCCTCAGACTTGAACATAGAGTCATTTGTCACCTTTTAATACTGACAAATGAAAATGTTATAACATTTTCAACAATGAATATATAATCTTTTGGAATTAAATCTTTATATATGTTTCTTTCTTTCTTTTTTGCAGCAAATGGACCCTCAAGACAAAAGCAAGGAGGACCAAAACGAGCAACATGGACATAAAAGCAAAGGTATTTTTTATACTGAATGAAAAATGGCAGATATTGTTGGATTTGGATAACAAAAACATGCAGCTGTGTAAAAACGATAGTAAATGAATATAAATCTCTTGTCTGTTGTAAAAGTCAAAGCCAGCCCTGCACATTCCACTGTGGCTTTGATTGAGGAGACGGAGGACATGGACCCATGGGACCTGCCAGAACTGAAGGACACAGGGGTCCCGTGGTCAGGTGAAAACTCCTAATATACCTGTGTATCATTTACAATAGTACAAGTGCTGCCTTACTCTTGTGTTTGTGAAGGAACGTGTATGTGTGTTCTGATTAGATGTACACACGATCAGTAATGACATTTACATTTACAAATCCATTGACTTGATGCAGTCAGATAGAGCATTAAATAGCTGTAAATCACATACTGCACAGCATGACGTAGTATAATGCAAAGTATACACAGTATAGCAAATCGGAATTTATGTTTTGCTACGGGGCCTATAAATGTATACATACCTCTTGGAAGTTTTCATATTTTATTGTCTGAAAATGCTGAACAAAAAAAATTAAATAATGTGTTTTTTTTTTGTGGACACTGTTTTCATGGACCTTTATTGTAAGGTGTGTTTAAATCAATTAAAACCCCTCAGCTTCTCAAAGATAATCTACTTCACTTTTAAGTGTGTCCTGTTAAAATGGGTAAATAAATATCTAAACATCCATCCATCCATTATCTGTACACTTCTCAATCCTCACTAGGGGTCGCGGGGGGGCTGGAACCTATCCCAGCCGACTTAGGGCGAAGGCAGGGGACACCCTGGACAGGTCGTCACACTTAGAGACAGACAACCAAGCACACTCACATTCACACCTACGGACAATTTAGAATCACCAATTAACCTCAACATGTTTTTAGACTGTGTGGGAGGAAGCCGGAGAACCCAGAGAGAACCCACGCTGTATGAGAATGTGCAAACTCCACACAGAAAGATTCCGGTGCCCCCACCAGGACGCGAACCGGCAACCTTCTTGCTGCGAGGCAACAGCGCTAACCAACTGCGCCTCCCTGCAGCCCATATCTAAACATGATTTTAGTATTTTATATTTGTCATTAATCCAGATCACTGTTTTTACATAGAGGGTGTTTTTTTAATTTTTTTTATTCTTCTGTCCATCAGCATCAGAAAAGTCACATTAAATCTCATCTCATCTGCAAACCTCTAAAGAATTGAAAACACTGCTGCACACTGTAGTTGTGTAGCTGTCATAGATAACACTTGATATGATCCAGGTACTATAGTCAGACGAACAGACTAAAATCTACTCCAACATGCAATAGAAATTATGTTAAAGTTAAGATAAATGAGGCACAGTCTCTGTTGAGTGAACACATTTCAAACTAATGCAACAGAGCGGAAGGTGAAACGTTAAAGTAGAATATATAAGTACTAATGTATGAGAATAATGTTTTTATAAAACATAATTTGTAATATAAATGTTTCTGTGTCTGATTTGTTGTCTAAGATGCATGCCACTTAATGACAAAAAATCCTAATTAATATCCAGTTGTTTGCTATCATCCTTTTTACCTCCCACTGTTTCTGTTGTTCTCCCCCATAGAGTTGACAATAAGGCAAAAGGGGAGAAAAAACCTTTAAATACTGAAAAAACATTTTTTCCCCCCCTTTTTAATTTCTGCCACTTGAGTGTGATTTTTACCTAACTGTATTTGATCCCGTCTATTTTTCTTCATCTGTTTCTGTCTGCTTCAGCTTTGGATACCAAAGGGAAGCTGCTGAGAGTGTTTGTGTCAGTGGGGAAGATCGTTCTGCTGCTGGGTTTCCTTTACATGTTCATCTGTTCCCTCGACATCCTCAGCTCAGCTTTCCAGCTTGTTGGAGGTAAACCCGCTGAACTCGTGATGTCATGTTGAACCATAAAAATGTGTGATATATGTCTTTTATCACAGCAGGTAATTTGTAGATAGAGCCCCATTAAGCCACGAGAGTGTAATCCTGAAACTCCAGCAGCTTGTGTTAATTTCACTTTACACATACAGAGTGATAAACCACGGTTTGTACTCAGTCACTCCCCTGAGCAGAAGTCATTTTTTGAGAATTCACATGCGCTGATCTCCAGGTAAAACAGCAGGCGACATCTTTCAAGACAACACAGTTCTGTCTAACCCCTTGGCTGGTCTGGTTATTGGAGTTCTGGTCACTCTGTTGGTCCAGAGCTCCTCCACGTCCTCCTCAATAGTTGTCAGCATGGTCTCCTCTGGACGTGAGTAGCAGCCCCAACACACACACACACACACACACACACACACACACACACACACACACACACANCACACACACACACACACACACACACACACACACACACACACACACACACAGATACAGACGTGGACAGAATATATAAATGTTGGAGCTGAGGGGGAAATGTTGAAGGAGGCCTGTGTGCTTCGACAGTGCTGACCGTCCAGGTGGCCGTTCCTATCATCATGGGCACCAACATTGGCACCTCCGTCACCAACACATTAGTTGCCACGACGCAGGCTGGTGACCGCAGCACATTTCGCAGGTAATAATTTTGTGTCTCATGAAAGGAAATCTCAGAAAAATCCAAAATCTCCACTCTGTGCTACAATGCAGTTATGAACTGGACAAATCTTGCTAACATCCTGCATCAGTGTCTACAGAAGCACCGTGATGAATTCAGCTTTATTTCTTTAGCAGCCATGTACATTGACCTGTTATGAAAAGGAAACAGAAATTATTAAATTTTTTATAAAGTTCTACCCTGATACATTTGTACAAATTCCAAAATTAGGTGAACTAGACACCTCATAAGTTTGACATTTGAGTCTGTCACTTAAGTATCACAGAAACTATTATCCTTCCATTTTCAAAATGTCATCTTTTAATGAACTAAGAAAATTGACCTTTTTGAGCTGTGGGTCATGGTATTAAAAGGGTGTTATTATCTCTGAGGAGCAAGAATAATTACAACCACTTAACTCTTTAATGTTTAATCTACAAAATTAATTCTTCTCCTTTATCTGATAACCACCATGTCATATTTAATTTATAATTCATGATCCTCAAGTTTGCTTTGAAAAAAAAAAAGACAAAACCATCACATTTGGACAAGGATTATTACTGCGTAAGTACTTAGGATTAGCTGCTAAATTCTTTCCTAGATGGCAATTTCATTAGAAAGATCAACGGCTGTTTTGTACTCGCATTTATCTTCCCCTTTTCACAATGCACCCAGGGCTTTTGCAGGAGCCACAGTACACGATTTCTTTAACTGGCTCTCTGTGCTGGTGCTGTTGCCTCTGGAGGTCGCCACTGGTTATCTGTACGAGGTCACCAAGCTCATCATCGACTCCTTCAAAATCCAGAGTGGAGAGGCCCCAGAGCTGTTAAATGTGATCACTGACCCCCTCACTGAATCCATCATACAGGTACGATGTCAGGATGATCATGTTGTTGTTACTTATGCAAAAAAACATGACAGGCACTTGGCTTAGATTTTGGCTGGTCATAATGTTGAGGATCAATATACTATTTATTTTGACGAAACAACATTTTTAATTGGACTCACAATGATGTCATATTGTGAAAGGAAGTAATGTTGCTGTAGTAGGTTGGTTAATCCTGCCTTTACTGGATATTTTTTAAAAAGGGCAATTCTAAATTTCCACAGAAGCTGAAGACAATACATTGGTAGAGGCATTACACATGAAGTCCGAACTATTTGCTGGAAGATGATTATGTATGTTTGCTATCATGCTAATTGTGTTGTTTTTATGCCAATATCACTATCAGAGAGATAAGATTCCATTAAGTAGGGTTGTTATCTTTGTCATAGTTGCACATTTCTACACAGTTTTTTCTCTTTCCCTCTGACTCAGCTGGATGAGTCGGTCATTAGCGGGATTGCCACCGGAGACCCAGAAGCCAGAAATAAGAGCCTTATCAAGACATGGTGCCGAACCTTCACCAACACAGTAAGGCAACAGCTTGGTAATTACATAGAGAATATTCTATAATGTTCAGACATTAAAACCTTTAATGTCAAACTGCCTATGTGTTTCAGACCTTAATGAATGTGACGGTTCCTGGCCCAGAGAACTGCACCTCTCCAACTGTCTGCTGGCATGACGGCAACAACACCTTCACACTGAAGAACATTTCTATGACATACAATGTGCAGAAATGTAAGACTGTCTTTTGACTCCACTGAATTTTAAAAAAGGATGATCTTTCGTTTTAATAGTGACAATAATCTTTTCATGTCAGACATAGTGATTAGCATATATTTGGTTCCTGTGATTATATGTGTTATATGTGTGTCCTCAGGTACCCACCTCTTTGTGGACGTGAATCTGTCCGACCTGGCGGTGGGTCTGATCCTGCTGGCGATCTCTCTGCTGGTGCTCTGCTCCTGCCTTGTCCTCATCGTCAAGCTGCTCAACTCCATGCTGAAGGGACAGGTGGCTACAGTCATCAAGAAGATCCTTAACACAGGTGAGCAGCACTGCACACTGTGATTTCAATCAACTGGATGTGACGCACTGGTTATTAATACATGAATGTTTGTATGTGTGTTTCTGTGTGTGTGTGTGTGTGTGTGTGTGTGTGTGTGTGTGTGTGCAGATTTCCCGTTTCCATTCGGCTGGGTCACGGGTTACATTGCCATTTTAGTGGGAGCAGCGATGACCTTCATTGTGCAGAGCAGTTCGGTGTTTACTTCTGCAATTACTCCACTCGTTGGTGAGGTCAATCAAATCAGTCATTTTGTTTATCATCTCTATGTGTTTCTTATTTAAAAAAACGTATGATTTCCCATAAATACATGGTGTGTTCTTTATGTGACATCGTAGGGAGTAAAACACATCCCTTCTCTAGGAGAACAGGCTAAATAGAGTAGAGAGGGATCTAGTGAACACACACACACACTTTACTTGCTTACTGTCCTTTTCTTGGTGGCTTTGTTTATTTATCATCACCAAGAATTAAAGCTAATAACTATAATTCCCTGGTTTTGTAAATGCGAAATGATGTGTTCAAATGAGCATCTCTTTTGTTTGAATAGGTATCGGTGTCATCAGCATAGAGAGAGCGTACCCATTGTCCCTGGGTTCAAATATTGGCACCACCACCACAGCCATTCTTGCAGCCATGGCTAGTCCTGGAGACACACTGGCAAACGCTCTACAGGTCAGTTATTCACACTCTCACAAACGTCTTTTTAGTAGATTTTAATATAGATTTTATTGTGTTTTGTCAGAGATATTTGAGTTAAGTTTGAGTTTATTTATCTTTATGTAAACATCATCATAAATATATGTTTCATTTGAAAAATCTAGCCGGTTTAACTGAACATATCTTTTATGTTTACTGTCACATTTAGGACGACCAAAATTCAAATGACCAACATTTTAACTGCATCATAGCCCATAAGGGATATCTTTAACTATGACAGCTAAGGAAGTAGTGGTTTTGGTATAAACTGGTAGGAAAATTGGGTGCTTTAGTTGTTCCTATGACGTTTCTTGAAAATGACAGCACACCTCGGGAGAGATAAAAGGGAAAATTGTAATTCCCCTTAAAGAACGACTAAGCAGATCCAAGTAATTATTAATTTTTAATGAAAACTTCTGTGCTCTTGGAGACGATTTACATATTTGTAAGGGAGTTATGTACCAGTTGAATGCTGCTTGTTTCACCTATAAGTATTTAGCAACGAATAGCACAGTTCTTTTCACAAAAATGAACAGAAACAAGTAGGAAATAACAGACAAGTAAAATATAAAAAGCTTTTAGTAAATAAATAAAATTAAAATGGCTTCCTTGATACTGTAAAAAGGTGCATAAATGCACTTAAATTGTGTCTTATTTTTATATGTAATAGTATATTGTTTAGTTAAATGGGCAAAAATAAAGAGAATCAATAAAGTTTGTTCATGATTATTCCAGATTGCCCTTGTGCACTTCTTGTTCAACATCACTGGCATCATGCTCTGGTATCCAATCCCCTTCACTCGCATCCCCATCCGGCTGGCTAAAGGTCTGGGCAGCATCACTGCCAAATACCGCTGGTTCGCTGCTGTCTACATCATCTGCTGCTTCTTCATTTTGCCGCTCTTCGTATTCAGCCTGTCGCTGGCCGGTTGGCAGGTGCTGGTGGGCGTTGGTGTACCTGTAGTCGTCCTGCTGATCGCCATCATGGTGATCAACACACTGCAGGAACGGAAACCTAGTTGCCTGCCTGCAGCACTGCGATCCTGGGACTTCCTCCCTCTCTGGGCCCACTCCCTGGCTCCCTGGGACAAAGTGGTTGGTGTGATTACTGCCAAATGCTGCTGCTGCTGCAAATGCTGCCAAGTGGCATCTGACAACCAAGAACACAGAGTACAAGAATCTGTGGAAAAGAACAAGAAAGCACATACAGCGGTGTATGACAACCCAGCAATGAGCCCTGAGAAAGAAGTAGAAGATGAGATAAAGATAGAGCTGAAGATTCTGAAAATGACCCAGCTTTGAGGTTTTGTATTTATTGTATTTGTGTGACATTGTGCGGATGATGGCAAAGAAAGATACTGGTCATGGCACAAGAACCAAATACATTTAGGCAACTGCGAGTTCCAAATTATTTATACTATTATTTTTAATAGATTGTTTTGTGTAACATGAGACTATGTCACTGTATCAAGATTTCTGTCAGACGGAGAAAATGACAAATGCATGCAATATGTGTTAAGTTAAGTGGCCTTTAAAGGACGGGGATTGTAATCTATGGATTCCATGAAAAGACCAAAACTAACAGCAGGCTAGTTTGTTGTTAAATACTTTCTGATTTACCCTGTCTGTTGCCTCAGGTCACTTTGATCTTGTTGAAGTTGTATTGACAAGTCATAGAGTAGAAACTCATCTCCAAAAGAATCCTGAATAGAAATTTATGACAGATTTCTGTAACAACAAAGATGGGAGTTGTCTGACACATATCCCACCCCTTTCCCCAAAATCGAAGCCAAATCATCTGTTAAAAAACTACAGAACCAAATCGTATGGTCGTGAAACTGTGCATATGTTTGATAGAAGTTTGAAAGAAATTTACATGAAGTAACCAAACTTAGATTTGACAAGTGATTCTATGTATGTAGCTTTTTTTGTCATGGTAGCCACTGAAATTCTCTCCATTTATTTAGATCAGAATATAGTCTTGGTAGCCCAAAACCACTGCCCAGTGGCATTACCAAGATGGCTACTGAATGGCCAGACTTGCTGTAGAGGGACTTTGAGATGGAAAAACAGCAATTAAATAATAAATTTAATCCATTTTTTATAGGCTTATTTTATTTTTTACTTTTATTTTTTAAAAACAGCTGGGTGCTGTTTTTGTTTGTTTTTTTAAGCAATCATTGCTGAAAAGAAGAAGCTAGAACATTTATTGTTAACTGTTTAAATCTGCAGATTAATACACATTTGATTTTCTAGTGAGTAATTTAAGCAACATCATTTGTGAGATAAATTCCAGGGGCAGGACTCTAGAAATGACAATGCTGACAATACTCAGTCCAACATCTTCGTCTGTGCTGAAATATCTCAACTATTTGACCATATGACATTCTTACATATATTTTTGGTCAGGACTTCATCTTAACTTTTTTTTCAGTAGTAACAAGGAAATGTTATCATGCAGTTTGTTGTGATGGTGAATATATGAGCGTATTAGCAGGCTGACTTTTGCATCATTTCACTAATAGCGCAATGTGCTGATAAAGTATAATCTCACAGTTACCATGGCTGTAAACTCTCAGTCTACTAGGATAATAGTGGGGCTTTATGACAGAGGAAAATCAGGGCTTGGCTACACTGATGTCGCGTGTTCGTACAATCAGTCAACATTGGATTTGGTCTTTAAATGGGATCTGTGGATAGTTTAAAAACCGTAGAATATTACCAGACCTGTCTTTCCATATTTGAGTTTGATGGCCAAATTGCCCTTTTGACAGCCTAAAAAAATAAAATATCATTTAAAATGATCTCCTTAAACATGGTTATTGGGTTTTATTTAAAGATACAATATATAATAGAGATATTTGGTGTATGGTACATGTAAAATGAAAACTGAACAAAGGCAATATCTGTGATTTGAAATGAGGAATATGAAGCTCTGTGGCTGTATTTCATCGGCACAACCTGTCAGTTTGTATTATTCTGTCCTAAAGATGCCATGGCCTTTATGCCCGAGTATACAGTCATGATACACAAAACCTACCAGGCAGAGTGCAGGTTTGAGTTGACAGACACAAACTTGTCACATTTCAACATTTCTATCAGGGTTCCTCTTTTTTTTTTTTTTTTTTTACAAAGACTTTCTTTTGAAACTGTGTAAGAGACACACTGAAATCCTTAACGCATCATTTTAAGGTGTAAAATTACTTTGTAATTGAAAAGATAATTGTATTCAAGGAATATGTGGTCTGAAATTAGATGATGAACATCTGACTGTATGTTTTTGACATTTATTGTTTAATTTTGAGCTGTGTATTGTTTCTCCAAAATACCATGTGAAAGTTTAAAAAAAATAATAAAATTGTACAAAACAGAATGAGTCAGTTTGGAATCTTCCTGTCAGAAACCACTAGATATCTATATGCATGCTGACCCAGTATTTATTACCCTACTATCAGTGTTATCTTAAGGTTTTCTGAGTAAAACAAGGTGGGAGTGAACATATGTAAAGAAGAGTCCAAAGTGTTCCGAGAAAGAAAGAAGGTCTTTGCCTTAAAATATCATAAACTTTATCAGTATCACCACTATTATCAATAATGATTCATATTTTTTTTTGTAACAGCTGTCTTTTGGAGTGTCAGGTAGTCTTCTAGCTGCAGTTCAGGACTATACTGTTGCATTTGTAAGTATTGTATTATTTTGCTTTTTAAGTGTCTGGATTGGCAAAGCCAGTGTCCAGGAAACTTCCATTGTTGTGCTGACCACTGTACTGTCACATGTCAGCGAGCCATGTGTAAAGAACATGAGATGGATTATCAATATGTCAATATAGAGGCTGCACAACTGTGCAAAACTGCACGACACAACAACCACGAGAATTTCCACATGGTCGACTGGCACTCATTGCTACAGGGAACGCACACACACACAGTTGCTGTATACAGGAAGGACCTCAGTCTTTATGCATCACCTACTGGCAGCTTATTAATTTGTTTTTGATTAATGTGCTATTTTTTAGTTCTTAGTTTTTAACTGGTTTCAAACTAGCGATTTATCAATTGTGTTGTACCATCAAAATTTAAGTACTGTTGTAGGTGGTTGCTAGGGAGCATCTGTAAAACTCTCCAGTCAGAAGCTCGAGGATGTAAACTGTAGGTCACCATGTTAAAAAATTACAGTTTTGGTAGGAAAACAAAATATAACACTTAACTGTTGTTCCCTTTGTAAATTTACTTATTACTACATTGTTTTTATGTTTGAATAAGTGAAGATTTCAGAAATAGCAGTTATTTAAAATGAGTGGAAAATGTCTGACTATGACGGCTAATTAACCTGTTTTTCACTTTAAAGAGTGTTATATTATTTTTTTTAAAGGAGATTTAGAATATTGCCAACTTGTATGATGATTAAACTGCATTTAGTCAAATTTTAGGTCAGATGTGTTAACTATAAACCACATTAACCTGCTCTTCACGTTAAAAAGGTTGTGTATTAGAAATCATTAGATCCGTCAGTTAACCTCATAAAATTCAGCTTATCTTTTATGAAAACAGCAGTAAAAGGTCTGAATCATTATGCTGGTTGGAGTTACAGGTGTGCAGGGCACAATAATTCAGAAGGAAACTGTAGTTTTACTGTATGTGTAACCTGACAAGGACCTATTGCTTCAACTGCTGCCACAACTGTTGAGGTTATTGGTATCTCAAAATAGTTTCCACCATTTGACCTGTGAGGCCCAGTGAGAGTTAAAGGGTTACATTACCATCTACACCAGGCAGTCAGTAATTGTAGTTGCATCTCGATGTCAGAAACATGTTGTGTTCTGTATATTCTCTCTCCAGTGATGCAGAAATCCCTGCTTAGTAATTTTAGAAAACTAAGGCTAAGTTTGAACTCAAGGAAAGGTGGTGTTACGGGCTTCAGGAGTCTTTCTCTGTGTAAGTAGATGGCTGAGAGGGGCTGATCTGTCTGGTAAAGTGATAAAACAGAAGCACATTGCACCCATCCCAGGTCTACATAGCTGCTCAGCATGTGATGGGGTGTGTCGCTGCTATGACAGTGCCAATGTCACCGGAGTGCACACACACACACACCTGCTGATAAGGCTGACACACTTTTCATCTTATCGGTTATCACTGTGACTGTTTTGAGGAAGAATAATTCAAATCTTCAACACCTAGTTTAAGAAATCAAGAGAATCAAAGGGGGCTTCACACCACAAAAATGTATTATCCTCATTGTTTGAGCTCTACTGTGCAGTATGATGTGTATGAGTTTGACACAGGAAGCAGTTTTTACTCTCTGCTTCGGCAAAAAAGTTTCTCTTTGCTCATCTTGAATTTGCTTTAGAAGTCAAGTACACATTCACTTCTATGAAGTACATTTTTTATCTTAATCTTTTTGCATGAACTAAATGTAACTTTCTCTACAGTTTAATTTTCCAAAATATGTCTTTCAATTCATGTGAGAGTGCAGTGTCTCTAACTTTAGTTGCAGAGGACAAATGCACAAGACTGTGAATAAATTCACTGTATGTTGTGTGCTTGAATTAGGACTTGTGTTTTGAAGAGAACTCTATGTCTTCCAATTAGCTTTAAGCAAAGTGCAGAACCAGGAGGAGCATAGTCAAGTCACAGAATCATAGTCATATTCTCCATTTTACATAGTTTTTCCAAAAAAATGTTGGCTTCTTTGCCTTCATCCCAGTGGTTACCATCCTTGATTATGAATTTAATTTGAAGGTACGTAGACTACAACATTATTACATGTTTGCTGTGATATAAAACTAAACTGCTGCATTTTATTCCATTAAATGAAAATATTGTTAATGTTTTGAACATAATTTCCGATAAATTCAGCATCAGACATTGGGCATCTTTGGAAACTTCCCCAGTGGGGTTATAAAGTCAAGTTCTCTGGGTTTGAACGATGTTCAGCTGCTCTTTGTATGTTTGTAATGAGTGACCCACCACTATAAAATAATGTTCCAAACCATATCTAGTGTGCAATCTTTGCCACAGACTGTGGGCTTGTCATGTATTCCAGTGAAATACAGAGTTAAGTCCTCGTGTTAACTTGAATGTGTTTGATTAACCAACAACGCCATCTCATGGTAGTTGTGGGAACAGCACAAGCCATATAAGGATAATTGGATGCTGAAGGGGCTGCAAGGTGGCTCGGTGGTTAGAACCGTTTCCTCACAGCAAGACGGTTGCTGGTTCACGTTCTGGTGAAGACACTTTTTACAAGAATTTAAAAAAATGTATTTCATGTCGAAATGAAAACATGTTTCTACAAAGTAATGCCAATTATTTAAAAATAGAAAATGTAAAATAAGTGATTGCATTAGTATTTACCTCCTTCAAGTCATTATTTATTAATTGCATCTTTGGCTGCAATTACAGCACTGAGCCTGTGTGGATGGAAAATTGAATTGAATTGAATTGAATTGAATTGGTAGGATCTCCCAAGGCAAATTGGGTCTGGGGGAGGGACGAGACAAAAAGTGAGTCAGAAAACCTCGATGGACAGCAGCAGAAGGACTGCCCAGAGGGTCCACCACCCTCAGGGCAGAGGATTGGGGTCGGGTGCTATGCCCACCTGTGATGGCTTGTGGCCACCTGGTGTGTGTGTGCAAGACCCAAATGAAGAGGAGACGGGGAGTAAAGGGAGGAATAGGTTTATTTTAGGGGACTCCAGGGGGTGTGGGGCAACGGGAGGCAGGTAGGGAATCCAGGGCAGGTGTGCAGGTTGCAGTGGCGGTGCAGGAGGGGGAGTTTCCGTGCCAGTGCTCGTGTGGAGGTTTTCCGTGCCGGTGCTGGTGTGGAGGTTTTCCCGTGCTGGTGCTGGTGCAGGGTAAGAACTTGACTCGTATTGTCTTGAGGGTAAAGGCTGGCGTGAAGGGCGGACAGCTGGGGGGGGGGGCAAGTTGCTTCCTCAAGTGAGGGAGTTTAAGTATCTCGGGATCTTGTTCACGAGTGATAGGAAAATGGAGCGCAAGATGGACAGGCGGCTTGGTACAGCGTCAACAGCAATGCGGGCGCTGTACTGGACCATTGTGGTGTAGAGAGAGCTGAGCCACAAGGCGAAGCTCTGGATTTACCAGTCCATCTACGTCCCAACCGTCACCTATGATCACGAGCTTTGGGTCATGACCGAAAGAACGAGATCGCGGATACAAGTGGCCGAAATGAGCTTCCTAAGGCTGGGCTCAGGGTGAGGACCTCGGACATCTGGAGGGAGCTCGGAGTAGAGCCGTTGCCCCTTCGCATCGAAAGGAGCCAGTTGAGGTGGTATGGGCATCGGAAAAACCTCCAGAGGATGCCTCTGGGGAGACCCAGAAGCCGCTGGAGGGATTTTATCGCTCGGCTGGCCTGGGAACGCCTCGGGATCCCCCAGGCAGAGCTGGAAAGCGTCGCCAGGGGGGAGGGAAGTCTGGGACAACCCTCTCCGCCTACTGCCCCCAGATAAGCGGAAGATAATGGACGGATAGATGGATTAGAAACACATTCATTGCATTTAGATAATATCCATTTCACTAACTGTGTGACTTCTAGCACTAGTTGGCTGCATCTGTGTTGAATTAAGTGAGTTACTTGAAAGGGGGTAAATCCTTAAGCAACCACATATTTAACATTTTATAGATTTTATTAATTGACTTTACTTTGTAGAAGTGTGTTTTGACTTTTACATGGAAGAGTTGTTTTTGTAATTTCTTGCCATTAAAAAAAGAAACTAAATTGACCACGATTTGGTGTTGAAAACCAACAAAAAGGGGAAAACTGACAAGGGGTGTAAATAACTTTTTTTAGACACTGTATATGTTCATGACTATTTGTATTTAGCAGGTTAATGATGAACCCGCAGGAAATTATACCCCAGTTCTGAAGCTTCCCTCGGCTTGAGGTCAATGCCTGCTGCCTCACTGTTTTGGTTCTCTCTCACCACCCTCACAGTCATTTATAGCAGTAGCAAGCAGCTGTTTTCAGCAAAAATGCTCTAAAACCCCCCAAAAAAAACATTAGTGATGCTATGTCGGTGATGTCTGAAAAACCCAGAGTGCTGTTTAAAACCCCTGTTCTGAAAGTATTTTTAGAATCGCGAAAGACTCGTCTAACAATCTCAGATTAGAGAAAAAAAGAAGCTGCAAGACATTTCTGTTTTCTGAATCAACACACAAAGATGGCAGCTCGCCAGCAAGGTGGATGTATGAATCAATGTTTCATCTTGGGAAAAAGGGGGAAAAAATGTATTTCATCATTAAGCAAAAACAATATTATGGGTCCTCTGGAAAAAACTTTAGAACAGTGGGTTTAAACAACCGTCTGGGATCCCAAACAGAGCTGCATAATTAACTTTCAGACAACCTGACGATTACCTCTGACCCCAATGTGCGTGCTGTGTTCCAGACACAGACTGCATAGTAAAATGGACGAACATCACCCTAACGGTGGTTTAGGGTTAGAAGCTCAGTGTGTTGGCTCCAACTGTTACCATATTGGCAGTGTCTGAATCTTTCTAACTGACTTTACTCAACTAATCCCAAAATGAGAAAGAGGAAAGTATGTGAGCGGAGCTGAGGTGGACCATACAAACATGTCTGGGCCACAAAGCGTCCAGTAATGCTACTCACCTGTCACTTAATAGTGGCCACATTCTTAATTATGCATACTTTTAAGTTTTAATTCAATTGAAACTATGAGATATACAAAAATTAATCCTAAATGCAGTTGTCATCAACAAAGAAATTAGCAACAGAGACCAAAACCAGTTTTTGAACCAGGCTGTAGACATGTTCACTTTTGCTGTAAAGTTGAAGATTTTATTATGAAAGTCTATGGCAACAGAATGGCTTTTGGAGCCAGCCTCAAGTGGACATTTGAGGAACTACAACTGCAATCTGAACATTTTGTTTTTTTAGCTCTGGAAGTTACATTTAGTTCCTGACAATTCACTGTTGGCCATGTTGACATTTGATTTTGCATCATGTTTTGTAGAATGCTTCAAGCTAAGTTTTCACATTGTTAACCTTTGAAACGTTAGAACTACTTAATGCGTAAATTAGTTTAGACAGGACAAGTTTGCGGCATTGATATTAGAAGGTGACACTTATATCAGTTTTGTTCGAAGAACTTGGTTCCCACTGCTTCAAAAGGGACAACAACCTGTGGCTACAAGTTCAAGGTTTAAGTTTAAAAATATTTCCTTAGCTAGCATTGAAAACACATTCAGGCATTAAAGACAATACAACAATTTCACAAAACAAAATAATTTATTATTCTCAAACCCAGAGGCGATTTGTGGTTACAGTCATTACAGATAACTGATGTGCATTTTACACATACTGTACACTGCCACTATCACTACATTACTACTAAAACTACAGTACTTCTAAAAACTCATTACTACATCCACTACTCACTAGAACTACCAGTTAAAGTAAGACTAAAGCATGATATAAAAACATCAATACATTAACATACAATACATCTGCACTTGTAGCACCATTCATTGCACTATACTGTAGACGCAAAGAATAATTTAAAGTTATGTGGGCTACTGCATACTTCACAGGCTTGTGTTTCCATGTGCCTCTCTCTAAAGGCACGGAAGAGGCCTTTTCATACAAGACCACTAAAGCTGGTCACTTGTGCAATGATTTGTGCCTATAGAAAAAAAAAAATCCATCTATTTTCATGTCATGGGCCAAACCCATCTTTTTTTGTTTTGTTTTTCTGCTCCTTGTCTGAACTTAGGGGAGTTGTTGCAATGTTCTATACCAAAATGAAAAAAAAAAAAAAACAACAGTTCACATGTGCACTAAAGAGGAGTCTTTAACTTAGAAAGGGACGGGTCCGTAGTAGGCGGTGTATGCAGCGACGATGCCTGCAGTCTCAGCCATCTCATCGCAGGCAACATTCAGCTCACACACCTCTCTCAGGCTGGATGGAAGGAGAAAGAAACAGGATTACATGGTGTGTAACATCAATTTTACTTTGATGCTGTATTTTGTTTCTGAATGACTTTTTTTTGCACCCGAGTAAAACAATAAGTTATGATTTGACACTAGGTCCAACAGTTGACATTAATTTGCAGAATGAATTTCCAAATAGGCAAATGAAAAGGTAAAGTCAAACAATAGTTAACAGAATGTGTAAGTGTATTCTTTCTTAGTGAGTCAGTTTCATCCAACTAGAGTAAATAACTGTACCTTTCCAGCTGCAGAGGGGAGAGGTCGCCTGCTGGGGCAGCTCTTCTTCTCCTCAGGAGAACAGCAGCCAGATCCCTCTTCATAACCACTGGGGCAGCTGAGAGGACAAACATCATAAAGTCAGACTTTTCTTGAGTTTTCTTCTACTCATATGAAAACTCTCCAACTCCAAACCATGCAACTGTTCTCGATGGAAACAAAACAGCTACATACCCTCAGCACTGGCTGACTCTGATGAAGATGAGGATGATGAAGAGGAAGAGTCGGAGGCAGAAGAGTCAGAGGCGGAAGAGTCGGACTCAGAAGACGAGGAAGAAGATTCAGAAGATTCAGAAGATTCAGAGGACTCGGAAGACTCAGAGGACTCAGAGGACTCAGAGGAGGAGGATGATGAGGAGGAGGAGGATGAATCGGAGGCTGAAGAGTCTGAGCTTGAGTTGGAATCAGATGCTGAAGAGTCCGAGGAAGAGTCAGACTCGGAGGACGAAGAAGAGTCCGAAGCAGATGAAGAATCGGAGGCAGCAGCTGCAGGGTCGGCAGGTGCAGCTTCAGCAGCTGTGTCAGCAGCAGGGTCCACGACAACCTCAGGTTCCACAGCTGAGAGACAGAAAGTCACAATTGTAAAACATACTGTAGTTCCTTACATTGTGTTGAATAACATAGACAGCAATACTGGGATTCGCAGCAATGAAGTTTGTCCTTACCTCCCATAGACCAGCACACTGACAGAAGAGCACAGATGGAAAGGAGAGCCAGAGTCTTCATGATGCCTTGTAGTTAGAGTCTTTCTGCAGACAAGTTGATTCTGTTGTTGCTTGCTTTTCTTTGCTTTCCTTGCGATGGCTTGTTCTGATTCTTTGCCCTGGGTTGAGGTCAATATATACCGTAGTCCACCTCTTCAGTCAGGCCAGACCCACACAACGAGATAACCCTCTGATTGGCTGGGGAATCAAATGTCAACATTTCCACTTCCACTTGTCGTGAAAGCTCCCACAAACACCCACGCAGTCCCTGGCACCAAGGCCAAACTCTCATTCACCCTCTTACAAAGCCACAAACATTTGTGGCATGTGACTTCACGTACATGGTAAGGCATGTAAACCTGTATGTATGTATGTATGTATGTATGTATGTATGTATGTATGTATGTATGTATGTATGTATGTAAACCTTCACCTGACAGTCAGGGCAACATGGGAGAAGAATTGTCATCACGCTACGGGGATTCCCCTTCTCTATGATGCACTACATGGAATCAAAAATATCAAACTTTTTCTAATACCTTGTTTGACCTGTAGTTAAATGTCATATTAAATTACTATATTGATATCTTAAAAAATATTTTCTTTTTCTGGCTTTTGGATAAACTAAACAATATTTTTCTTATATTTCCTCCAACAAAACGCCCTCATTTCCCTGTCAATCATTTCCTGAGGTCAAACCGATCATTTCGCTACTCGTCTTGTTTGGCGATCCTGTACATCCCCTTCGAATTCCTTTCAATCCTCATCTTTCATCACCAAAGTATAAATAATGCAGCAAACCCCGAAAGTCCAAACTGGTGGTGTTACAAGATCTCTATAAAATACCCTTGAAATGTAATTAGAATTTAATCAGGGAGACCCATTGCAGCACTGCCGCTTTAACATCGAAGTTGCCAGTTCTTCCATTGCTGTTGTGCTACTACACTCCTTGCCCCAGATGTGATCTCCCACCCCCACAAACCCCAAACTATAGCCTGAGCCGACCACAAGCTACTAATCGAGTGACACGGAACAGCAGTGAGCCTCATTATGCGACAGAGCTTAATTAGAGTGTTGCAGAGTCCCGCGGGAACCGCAGTCAGTCGCTATTTACGGATCCATCTCGGCCTGGGCCTTCAACAGATCCAGTGCACGGCCACGGCTTACCAACACCAACCAGTAGCCCAATATTCAGCCTGTCTTGATGTATTTCAGCATATATATAGCTAAATATAGGCAGCCCCCATGTGTTGGATGCACAACGTTATGCATGCGGGTTTGGATGCTGTCCTCTGTTTGTATGATATGGTTCAAGTGTGGCTTCAGCTGTGGTTTTTGATAAAAAAAATGGTATTTGGAGTTTGCAACTTTGGCCTGCATCTTAAATACTGTCTAGATAACCAAACATTTTTGCACACATATCCCTTCGCGTATAAATATCTCAGGGGGCCCCCAACTAGCTTCATCAGTCATGTAGCAAGAGATTCAGCAGTGCTGCAGAATGACCTTGGTGTCCTTCGTGTTTCTTAGTCTAGCGTTATTCCTGGTGTCAGGGATTTGTTTTGGACTGTGTGCCATGTAATTTCAATGTCTGGTCCGGTGTCCATTTTTGTGGATGCATTTCAGTGCATTGGGGACGCAGTTGGAGCAAACAATTGCCATAACGTCTCTGAGGAGGCAGGAAATACAGCGTCTGAGGCATTTCTGCCTTGGATGTGTTCCTCATTTGTTGCTGCATTTTGGCTTTAAAATCATCTAGACAATGAGTAATGCTCACATTGTTTTGTTTTTTTACTGTTGTTCCAGGATTAGGCAGCAGCTCTTGTCTCTCCACTGGACTTGCACACAACTATATGCCAGATATTGTCCTGTGTATGATACTGGCAGTCAGTAATAAACATCCAGTTTTCTTCAATATTAGATGATCTGTTATCCTCGAAGGTCAAATATAAAACTCTCTGTGTTGAGTTTGCCTGAGTTTCTGTATTGATTTGAAACTTTTTGGCTTGTTTTTAAACCATTTCCCCTGAGGTCCATCATGTTCCCTAGCACAAGTTTTTTAGTCATTCCAAAGCGTAGGACAAAAACATTTGGTGAGACAACTTTCAGTTTTTGTGCCTCGAGCTGCTGGAACAGTCTGTCTGAAGATCTGAGAGAAGCTGAACTTAAAAGAACGTCTTCAGCCTGGCGTTTGATTAGATTGTCTTTTGGCCAAAATTTAAATGAGATTTAATTATTTATTTTAATGTTTTAACGTCATGAAATGTTTCTATTGCCCTTTATCAAGCTTATATATCATATTAAAACCAGTAATACAGCTCCGTTTTAATGTAATACAATTCAATAACCTTCTTAAGTTTGAGCTGACACATGGATTCAACTCTGGATCTCTGTAGATCTGATAGACCAGTTCTGTACTCAAAAATTTAAATACACACATGACAAATACAATAATGTAAAAAGAAAAGGAAATTGTTGCTTTTGAAGAAGAAAATTTGGACAATCAAAAATTTGATCATCTTTGAACCACTGCCTACAGTACCTAAAAGATGTTCTCGAACAACATGAGCTTTTTCAATAATTTATTAAACAAGTAAGTACATCCTTGGCATCATAAGTTAGGGTTACCCCCTTTAGCAGAAATAACTTCTTGAGGTGCATTTTGCATAATTGTTTCCACAACTCTCTGACATGGACTTGTTGAACCTGTTCTCTTCTATTTCGTGCAAAATTCCTGTTTGAGGGTTTTCTCGCATGCACTGCCCATCTCAATTCCTCCCACAAGATTTCAGTGGGATTCAAATCAGGACGTTGGCCAGACCAGTCCACAACTCTCCATTTCTTATTTTTGAGTATGCTTATAGGATGGTTGTCCTGGGGAAAGGTTCAGTTTCACCTTTTTGGACAGATGGCTTCACATGATCTTTGAGTGCTTTTGAATAGATGTAGAAATCCTGCCCATTCCCCTGAGGCAATGAAGAAACCCCAAACCATAATATTTTCACCAACCTTCACAGTTAGTTTGAGAATTTTCTCCTGAAAGGCTGCCTTCAGTCTGTGCCAAACATGTCTACTGTTACTGTACTGCAGCCAACCAGCTCTATCTTTGATTCATCTGTCCAGAGCGCAATAATCCAAATGGCCTGCTCTTTGTCTGTACGGTCATTGGCAAACTAGTTTTGCTCTAATGTTCTTTTTGCCTCCAATGTAGGTGCGATCTCTTTCTGATTGTAGACACATGCACTATCACATGAGTTACTTACAGATATTGTGATTGAATTTTGGAGTTCCTGAGGACTTCTTTTACAATTAAACTGTCTGCTCTTGGATTGAATGTGTTTGGGCAGACGATTCTGGGCAAAATGGCAGTTGTTTAAAATCTTTGCTACTTGTAGAGGATTTTCCTTACAGTGATATGATTTTTTTTTTAACCCTATTCAGGACTTTCATGCTGTCATATGTAGAAGGTCTTTCGGAGTCCATTGGACCCCAAGATAGAATATCCATCCATCCATCCTTCCATTATCTATACACTGCTTAATCCTCACTAGGGTCACGGGGGGCTGGAGTCTATCCCAGCTGACTTAGAGCAAAGGCAGATGACACCCTGGACAGGTCACCAGTCTATCAGAGGGCTACACTTAGAGACAGACAACCAAGCACACTCACATTCACACCTACGGACAATCTAGAATCACCAATTAACCTCAACATGTTTTTGGACCTTGTGGGAGGAAGCTGGAGAACCTAGAGAGAATCCACGCTGCACGGGGAGAACATGCAAACTCCACACAGAAAGATCACGGGTTTCCCCACCAGGACGCAAACCAGCGACCGTCTTGCTGCGAGGCAACAGTGCTAACCACCGAACCACCTTGCAGCCCCAATGAGGAATATGTGCAAAATATTTGTTGGTATTCATTATAGACTTTTACACTATGTTAAATGAATGTTCTGATAAGTTGATGCATTTTTGGTTCTAAATGCATGACAAAACCAGATTGTGGATTTCACCGGACATTCTCGAAGGAGGTTCCAAGCATTGGTGCTTAGTATATCTGGAACCCCTTATTCTAATGTTATGGTTTTTGAAAGTGTTAGAATTGTACAGATGTGCTTACTTTTGATCTGCTTTTTTTTTTTTTTTTTTTTTTAACTTATTTCATAATTTCTATAAAATAAATGAGTTTTAACTACACAGTTGTCAGCTAAGGTCTGTTAGTGTACGGCAGCACAGACTTTAAGTGTTAGTGTTGGATAACTGAAGCCATTCTCTACTTGCATAATGCACATGCTTCGTATCGCTGGAACAAACAACTTTCAAATGACCAGTTTGAGGCGTTTTTTTTTTTGTTTTTTTTTAAAACCATTACCTCACTGTGCGTGTAGAAGCTCACAGACAGACAGACAGAAGGTTTCCTGTTTTTCATGGTCCTGCATTCACCTTCCAGCACAGTACCTATAAGAAAAGCTACATCGTGCCGACAATGAAATATGATGAAATGTAAAGTTTAACATCAGGAAAGAACTGAATGGAGGGAAAGTTGCTGTAATACAAGAATGTTGCCACATGAGGTTTATAGGAGCCCACTGAATCTGTATGTCTACCCACTACTTATATTGATATAAGCTTAAAAACAGCAGAAAATTATTTAAGATTAATTAAGATACATCTATTTTATAAAGAAAAAATAATTACTTACAGTGTTCAAGTGTATTTCAAGGTAATAATAGATAGATAGATAGATAGATAGATAGATAGATAGATAGATAGATAGATAGATAGATAGATAGATAGATAAATAGATGATAGATAGATAGATAGATAGATAGATAGATAGATAGATAGATAGATAGATAGATAGATAGATAGATAGATAGATAGATAGATAGATAGANTAGATGATAGATAGATAGATAGATAGATAGATAGATAGATAGATAGATAGATAGATAGATAGATAGATAGATAGATAGATAGATAGATAGATAGACGGGCTGACAGACAGTTAAATAAAGTACTTTATTTATCAGAAAACACAGGAAAACACTATTTTAAACATATATACTGGATATTTGAAAAAAAAAAAAAAAGGTCAGTGCGCAAAGATAATTCTCTCCTCAATGCTTTCTGACATTTAATTGAAAGTAAAATCCAAACAC